GAGCCACTGACTTGGATTGTATAGGTATAGAAACATTGCTGTTAGGAGGGAGTTTCTGGATTTTCACCCAGCAGCTGTGAAACTCTAGTAATATAGTTTAAAAGTTAAGATGATCCATGTCTTGGAAGGCAACTGCAGATGTTGGTGTTTTGATGTGTCTGCCCTTTTTCTTCCTGCTGGTGGGAAACAAAATGGCAGGCCAATTTGGAGTGGTGGGACCATTTGATGAAGAGTCAGAAAATTGCTCTTTATACAGGGAACATTTTCATCTTTTCTTAAAGCCAACCATAGTGGCTGAGGACATCATAATACTACATTTTTTAAATACCTTCGGGAGCAGGACCTTTGCAATTCTGTGAAGTCTGATACAACCAGAGAAACCCATGGCAAAGACATTCCAAAAGTCGGGAAATTATTTCGCACCCAAGGCTGTGCTGATTGAGGAATGTTTCTGTTTTTACAAACTGGTACAGCATGAAGCCCATTTCTGAAGAAGGGTCTAGGCCCGAAACGTCAGCCTTCCTGCTCCTCTGTTGCTGCTTGGCCTGCTGTGTTCATCCAGCTCTACACCTTGTTATCTCAGCATGAAGGAGAGTCTGTTGCTCGATTCATTGCCGCCTTAAAGAGTTAGTGGAACATTATGAATTCGGAGGGTTCCTCGAAGATGCCTTGTGGGGGCCATTTGTTTTGTGGCCACCGACACAAAACTATTCAACGGAAGTTACTAACAAGGAGAGACCTGGATTTCAAGGCAGCATGTATAATTGCTATCTTGATGGAGTTCTCCACCAGCGAAGCAACTCAGTTGACTGACAATGCCTAGGTGTATTAAATAGTGGAAACTTGGAAGAGTGTGGCACCAACCATAGAATGCCACTGATGTTGACTCCTTGTGGCCACGTGTTGGACTTGAGAAGCCCAGTGCCTAGTAAATGAGTGAGTTGTATTGCCCAAAATTGTCAACTCAAGAATGAGAAGGGGATTCAGAAAGAATCAATCCTGCGGACAAGGCATAAGGCACATGTTACCAGCCAGGGAGTAGAGAGGGATTCAGCTGGGTCAGTGGAAGAAACAAGGCCCAGAGTCAGCCGAACAAAAAGAGTTGCTGGAAAAGCTCAGCACGTCTGGCAGCATTTGTGAAGGAGAAAACAGAGTTAACGTTTCAGGTTCGGTGACCCTTCCTCAGAACGGTCCTCCAGAGTCAGCCGAGTTTTGGTTAAACATACTGTTGGTATTGGTTTCTGGGTTCTTCCCAAAATAGAAGGAAAGGCAGTAAAAATAAAGTGAATACAGTGCTGTGGTGTCCCTGATTCCTAAATCAGTCTATAGGGAGAAGTTGAGGGCACTGTCATTGATATCTGCCAAGATTATACTATGGATATACATGGAAGATCAAGTGGTGCCACTGAAGGGCAATGTCCTGGTGAAAATAGAGTTAAGGGACCAATGTGCAGAATTGCCACCTTACATAGTAAAAGGCAAATATCTGAGTGCTCCTAGTTACAAAAATTAAGATTAAAAGGCTGCCGGACTCAAACATGAGTTTGCAAGAGATCCAAGACTAGTACAAAGATGTCTCCAAAGGAACCCTGGAGGAAATGAAAGGAGTGAAAAAATACAGCTGAATCCGGATGCTCATCTTAGGAGCACATCTGGTACTGTAGGTCATCTGGCCTAAAGGGGAGGTGGAATTGGAATGGCTGGTGAATCTGGGAGCATTAGAACCAGTAACCACCAATGAATAGCCGCTCCCATTGTTCCAGTCTTAAAAGCAGACGGCATGGTGAGGATTTGTAGCGACTTTAAGGTCGCAATCAACCCAGCTCTCAGTGCGGATCAATACCCCCTTCCATGCATAGAAGACCTGTTCACTGGACTGGCAGGAGGAAAGAAATTTTTTAAAATGTATCTGTCATAGGCTCACCCACAGATAGGTGTCCTAAAGGAGTTTCAGCTGCTGCTGCTGATAGTGACACACAGGATGTTATGGTACAAGCAACTTCCTTTTAACATCACGTCAGTGCCAGCTCTGTTCTAGAGGGCCATGGATCAAATATTAAGTGGGTTGCCAAGGGTCCATTGTTATCTGGACGATATTTTGATTATTGCATTCTCTGAAGAGGGGCACTTGAAGATTTATGAAGTGAAAGAGGGAACTTGAGAAATTAGAAGAGCAAAACGGTGCATGAAAAGGACTTGTGAACAGAATTAGGGAGAATTCTAAAATATTTTATAAATACGTTAAAGGGCAGAGGTTAACAAGGTAAAGAGTAGGCCCAAGGGACCAAGGAGGCAATCTGTGTGTGAAGCCACATGATATTGGAAGGATTTTGATGAATACTTATTTTCAGTCTTCATTCTGGAAGAGGAGCATGTAGGTAAAGAAATCAGGAAAATGGACTGTGAGGGACTTGCACAGTTTGACATAGGAAATGGGGAGGTACTGGAAGCTCTGATGGACTTAAAATGGACAAATGCCTTGGCCCAGATGAATTGCATCCCACGTTGCTATGGGAGGCGAGGCAGGTAATTACAGGGTCTCTGACACAAATTTTTAATTCTTCTCTGGCCACAGGGTAAGTGTCAGAGGACTGGGGTATGGCTAATGTGGTTCCGCTTTTCAAGAAAGGTAGTACAGATGAACCAGGAAATTAAAGACTTGTGAGTCTTGCATCGGTGGTAGGAAAACTATTGGAGAAAATTCTGAAAGGGAGAATTAATATTCATTTGGAAAAGTATGGGTTCATTAAGGATAATCAGTATAGCTTTGTCAGAGGGAGGTCATGGGGAGGTTATGCTTAACAAATTCGTCAGAATTTTTTGAAAATGTGATCAAGTGTATGGATGAGGGAAGTTCAATTGATGTAGTTTATATGGATTTTAGCAGAACTTTTGACAAGGTACCGTATGGGAGACTGATTGAGAAGGTTAAAGCACATGGAATTCATAGAAACTTGACAAGATGGATCAGAAACTGGTTTAGTAATAGGACACAAAGAGTAGTAGTCGAAGGCTGTCCTCTACTGGAGGCTGGTGTCCAGTGGTGTACCACGAGGATTAGTACTGGGACCCTTGTTGTTCATTATATACGTAAATGATGTAGATGAAAATGTGAGGGACATGTTAAGCGAGTTTGCAGATGACATCAAGATTGGTAAGGATGATTAATAGTGAAGAAGATGGTTGTAGATTACAGGAAGATATAGACGAGTTGGTCAGATGGTCTGAGGAGTGGCAGGTGGTTTTTAACTCTGGTAAGCATGAGGTGATGTATTTTGGAAGAAGAAACAAGATGAGAGAGTATTTAATGAATGGCAGAACACTGGGTAGCTCAGAGAAACAGAGGGATCTTGAGGTAATTATTCACAGTCGGCAGAGCACGTGAATAGAGTAGTTAAGAAGGCATATGAGACACTTACTTTCATCAGTCGTGGCATAGAGTATAAGAGCAAGGAGGTAATGTTAGAAATCATAGAGACCCTACAGTGTGGAAACAAGCCCTTCAACCCAACAAGTCCACACAGACCCTCGGAGCATCCCACCCAGACCCATCCCCCTGTAACCCACCTAATCGACACACCCCTGAACACTACAGGCAATTTAGCACAGCATTTAACGCTTACCAGAGTTAAAAACCACCTGCCACTCCTCAGACCATTTGACCAACCCATCTGTATCTTCCTGTAACCTACAATCATCTTCTTCACATCCTTACCAATCTTGATGTCATCTGCAAACTCGCTTAACATTTCCCTCTGATTTTCATCTATATCATTTATGTATATAATGAACAATAAGGGTCCCAGTACTAATCCTTGTGGTACACCACTAGACACCAGCCTCCAGTAGAAGACAGCCTTCTACTACTACTCGTGTCCTAGCCTGCACATTTTTGGACTGTGGGCGGAAACCGGTGCGTCTGGAGGAAACCTTCGCAGACGCGGAGAATGTGCAAACTCCACACAGACAGTTGCCCGAGGGTGGGATCGAACCTGGGTCCCTGACACTGTAAGGCAGCAGTGCTAACCACTAAGCCCCGTGCCGCCCAAGTTATACAGAGTGTTGGTTAGGCCACAGCTGGAGTACTGTGTGCAGTTCTGGTCACCTTACTACAAAAAGGATGTCATAGCACGAGAGGGAAAAGAGGAGGCTCACCAGGATGTTGCCTGGGGTAGAGCAGTTGAGCTATAAGGAGAGACTAACTAGGCTTAGATTGATTTATTCAGTGCAGACGAGGCTGAAGGAGGACATGGTTGAGTTGCGTAAGAATGTGAGGAGTATGGACAGGGTGAGTAGGGAGCAGCTTGTTCCCCTTGGTTGAAGAGTCAATCACTGGGGGGGGCATAGTTTTAGGGTGAGCGGCAGGAGATTCAGAGGGGATTTGAGAAAAAGTGTTTTCACTCAGAGATCCTTTAACAGCACTTCCACACCCTTGAACACTTCAATCTAGAGGGACAAAGTCAGTAAATATATGGGAGTATCACCACCTTGAAGTTCCCCCCCAAGCCACACACCATCATGACTTGGAAATATAACATAATTCTTTCATTGTTTCTGGGTAAAAGTCCTGGAATTCCTTCCCTAAGGGCATTGTGGGTCAACCTACAGCATGTGGACTACAGTAGTTCAAGAATGCATCTCACCACCACTTTATCAAGGGCATCTAGGGACAGGGAACAAATCTTGGCCAGCCAGCAATGCCCACGTCCCATGAGTGAATTTTAAAAAAAAAAATTGGTTATAAAAAAGTGTCCCAGAAAATGACGTGGGAATTGTCATCCTGAAGTTGAATTTATTGTAATGGTAACGTGTCTTTGCCTTGGTCTTGACCTATTCTATAAATACAGGTGTTACTTCTGTTAAGTTTTCAAGGACAGTCAATCATCAAAATGGTGAATTGCTTTTTATGAACTGTAAGCTAGAAAGGAAGTGTGCCTACAAGGTAATGGAGTTATGAAGCTCTGAGAATGCGCTCATCTTTCTTTTCTTCTCTTCAACAGCTGGCCTCTGGACAGTACTTACCTTGGGAGGAGTTGGGAATAAGGCAACCCAGCAAGGGGATCTGTCATCTCCACTGGCTAATCGAAGTCTTCTGCTGCTGCTTGTTCTATCTAATTTGAGCAACAGACCAGAAAACCCAAATCCATACAGGCAGTCGATAATGTCATTCAGGAATACACAAGGTTTGTTCAAGCCTGAAAACTTCTTAACAAAAAAAAAAGATATTTAACTGCTTACTTGCTATCTGTCAAATGCACTCAATACATCAGCAACCTGTAAACTGTTGAAAAACCTCAGCAGGCCAGGCAGCATCTGTGGAGAGAAAGAAAAGCCAACCTTTTGGGTCCAGTGAGCCGCCTTCAGATTTTGTTTCTGATTTCCAGCATCTGCAGACCTTTAGTTTTCTGTAAATTGTCTGACTGAGTATTGGATCATTTCAGATTTAGGATTCTATTATAGTGCAGCAAGAGTAATATTTCCCCCTCACCCCACACACTCAATGAGAGCAGTGCAGAGCCTCATTAAATTGGTTGACCTCATTTACTTTTTTTACTTAGAGAGCTGTGGGCCCTAGAAGCAACTACTAGTCCTGATAGGCGTTTGGTTCTAACACTGGTTTTATATCATTTGAAACATAGAAACATTGAAACTAGGAACTGGAGTAGGCTGTTTGGTCCTTCAAGCTTACTTCACCATTCAGTATGAAAATGGCAGATCCTCTGTCTCAGCCCTTTATTTGGGGACCGTAAATGTTAGGGGGTAGGCAAGCATAGATCAGCAGCTCCTGCATTTAATGTGGACCTCTGAATTTCTGCCAAGCATCTGAAGAAACTGAAACAAAAGCAGCAATTCTGATCAAGAGTCACCTCATATGCTGCCAGACTTGCTGAGTTTCTCCAGTAGTTTGTTTTTGTTTTAGATCTCTAGCACCTGCAGTTCTTTGTTTTATATATGTGAAGAAACTGCCCCATGCTCAGTGCCTACTGTTGTCATGCAAAAATGGTTGTTGTACTGGAGACCTCAAATTGGTGCCAAGGCTCGCACTTGGTGCAAAATCTAGGCTGATATAAGGGCAGCGAAGAGGGAGTACTGCACAATTGGAAAATTGTATTTTTAAGGTGAAACATTAAACTCAGGCCCCAACTGCCTTCTCTAGTGGTGGCAAGCAATCTAGTTGGACTATTGGGAAGAAATCTGGGGAGTTTTCCATGGTTATCCCTCAACTATTGCTAACTTTGGTGTCATGCTGTATGCATGGCTGTGTGTTCTCTACATTACAACAGTAACTAAACTTCAAAAATATTTAATTGGCTGTTACACAAGTGTATGTTTGGCCTATATTTTTTATCCAGTAGAGGAGACTTTATCTGGGAATCTCCACCAATATAGTATTAGCTTTCAGCTTTGGAAGTGTTTACTTAACCAATTCACTTCCATTGTGTGTGTGTGTGTGTTTATTGGGTATTGATGATACTGTTCACTTTGGTTCTCCTAGAGGAGATGTCACCTTGAAATTATACTGTAACAATGAATTTTCTAAATTCTTCCCACTATATTATAGAAATATGAGTACAAACACTGCTTATTTTAGAAAATATGTAGGGGTTAATGATAGACTTTAGATACACATAGTGGAATTGGCACAGTACGTTGTATGAAATTTTCTAAAAACTATATTTTAAGGTAGTGCTACTTCCTTTTAAAAAAGGAAATACTCCACCTAAATTATTTACAAAAAACATGTTGGTTCAATGCTCATTTTTATATTGTACTATTGACGGAATTCCAAAATAGTACTGTCACCGAAAGAGGAAATAGGATCATAAAATAAATTGGAACAGCTAACATTCCCACATTCTGCTGGTAGCCCACTTTTATCAAAATATTAGTAAGACAAATATCAGTTGTTTTATAAAAGGTGAGAATTAGAGGCACCATTTACTTCCACATATAACATGGCAAATAAGACAAAATAAAATAGATTTTGTTTTAATTGGTTATATAGATAAGCAAATGCAGTCAAATGCAGTCTAGTGGTTAGGATTTGGCGCTTTCACCACTGCGGCACGGTGGCTCAGTGGTTAGCACTGCTGCCTCACAGCACCAGGGACCCAGGTTCGATTCTACCTTTGGGCGACTGTGTGGAGTTTGCACATTCTCTCTGGGTGCTCCAGTTTCCTCCCGCAGTCTAAGGATGTGCAGGCTAGGTGGATTGGACAGCAGGCCAAGCGGCATCAGAGGAGCAGGAAAGCTGACGTTTTGGGTCTGGACCCTTCTTCAGAAATACAAATACAAATATATTAAACAAATACAAAGGCAGTTAGGATAGAAGAGGAGAACAATGCAAGCGCCTACTGGTACTCATTTTTTTTGTTTCACTTAAAGACTGATGAATCCACTGTGTATCTTTGCCTTTTGCACTATTAATTTCAAATCTGCAGTATTATAGGCTAGCTTTATTTGGATTTTCCATGATTATGCAGGTTTCTCCCTCCACTGTTTGCACATTATTTTGGCAGTGTTTAAATCTTCTATTGATCAATTTTTATGAATATGATTTTGCAGATAATTCAACACCTTGATATTTTCTTTGCTTAGTTTATTCTTACTCCCTCTCTATTTTTTTCCAACAATATTGAAGTACCAATTTGCCCTTCATTTATGAAGAACACACTTAAAAAAAATCAAGAACATGTCTTTTCTATTGTTAATTGTTGAGTAAGATGTTAACACCTAGCATTATGCTTTTATGTCAGAGTTTAACACAACAAAATGCTTGTGGAATCCTTACAGCATGGAAACAGGCCCCTTGGCTTAACAAGTCCACACTGACCCTAGAGCATCCCACCCAGACCCATCCCTATAACCCACCTAATCTGTACATCCCTGAACACTACGGGTAATTTAGCATGGCCAATCCACCTAGCCTGCACATCTTTAGACTGCGGGAGGAAACCGGAGTACCTGGAGAAAATGTGCAAACTCCACACAGTCGCCCAAGGGTAGAATCGAACCCGGGTTCCTGGTGCTGTGAGGCAGCAGTGCTAACCACTGAGCCACTGTGCCGCAATGGTGAAAGCGCCGAATCCTAACCACTAGACTACCAGGTATGCTCTTTACAAATCCAGAAATGGACTGATTTTAAAGTGCAGTAAAGAGAATCCAGTGTTCAGACAGAACAATTTACACAAAATGGTGGTACAGTGTTTCATCCAGCTCTATACCTTGTTATCTCAGATTCTCCAGCATCGGCAGTTCCTACTATCTTTGTATATGTTCAGCCATTTTCCGTCCAGCACCAGTTCCCTCTCCTTGCTCCTTGGTGACATTGAAGCTTCTGCTAGAGCTTTGTGCCCTTTTCTAACATCCCTACTTTTTCGCTGTTTTTCATTGACACCTTCCAATGCACCTGTATGAGATGTGATACTGGTTTGTTTATTTCTTTCCTGATCAACAACATTTCTTCCCTACACTAGGTTTACCAAACAAATGCTTAATTAATGATTGCTCAGGTGATAAAGTAATATGTTCTGAGGAAGGGTCACCGGACCCTTCACAGATGCTGCCAGACCTGCTGAGCTTTTCCAGCAACTTTGTTTTTATTCCTGATTTGCAGCATCTGCAGTTCTTTTGGTTTTTATTTAATATGTCAATTATGTTAGTTTTTCATTTAGACTAATACTAATATAAAATTGCAAGTCAAAAATACAGCTGAAGTATCATTTTGCCAGATATTTTATTTACATGTAATCCTTAATTTCAGATAATACTGCAATTCAGTCACCAAACTCCTACTGCTTCCAGATAAATTTCAACAGTTTGTACACAGCACTGTATGAGCAGCAGAAATCTGACCAGGCCACTCTTCTGCTGTATACTTTGTTGCATCAGAACCCAAATGTGAGAACATATGTCTTGGCCCGTACTGATGTAGAGAATTTGGTGAGTGTGATTTAGACTTTTTTGAGTAATAGATGAATTCTGTTTTATTTTTTCCTGAATTTTCTTTCTTCCTGTGAAGTTGCTAACTCTTCCACTGTTAGAGTTTTAAGGGCGAAGGCCAATTTTAGCAGCCATACGGCTTTACTGGTTGAAGTCAGCATGAATGAGGAATAAAGTTAGTACTTTCTAATTAATGCAACCAAGTCCCATACTCTTTAATGCCTTTATCCACTAACCCATGGGGCTCATCGCATTGCCAGTGCAGCATATGCAATTTCCACACTTTGGAAATAGGTTTAGAATAGGGGCGGCATGATAGCTCAGGGGTTAGCACTGCTGCCTCACAGCACTAGGGACCTGGGTTCAATTCTACCCTCGAGTGACTATCTGTGTAGAGTTTGCACATTCTCCCTGTGTCTGCGTGGGTTTCCTCCGGGTGCTCCAGTTTCCTCCCACAGTCCAAAGATGTGCAGGCTAGGTGGATTAGCCATGGGAAATGCAGCGTTACAGGGTTAAAGTCTGCGGTGGGTCTGTGTGGGATGCTGTTTGGAGGATCGGTGTGGACTCGAAGGGATTCTATGATTCTATGTTTGTGTTCTTAACAGGCTGTTGTTTAAATCTGGTTACTTTTGAAAGTGGGATATGTTGGGGAATTTCATGTAGATGTTGTGATTTTGTTTTTGCTTCATTTTACATAATAGAATCCTTTTTCCTGTAAAGTCGGGTACTGTAGCCAAACTTAGTTTAGCTTCTTTGCCCTTTGCAATGATTCATGCCTTTATCGACTGAACACAAACATGGAAATACAAACAATACACTGATTAAATTCCACATTTTCACAAACATGATTCACTGTTCACTCTTTGTTTTTAAAGGTGTAATTTTGTATTTCCTTTCCTGACACTCCCAACTACTTGGTGTACAAATAACAAACCAGCCATATCTATCTGTGTGTTCTCCTATTTCTGCTTATTTTGGTGTTTTTGTTTCTTTCTAAAGTCATTTAGGCATGTTTCTTAAGGGAGAATATAAATGTTCAACTTATTTGCATCCAGTACATCCCTCAGTGTCCATTTACTGGTTTAGCAAAGTCAAATTGGTTGACATCTTTGAGATATTCCTCTTGTGTCTTAACTAAGATTTGACAGATCTGGGAATTGTAGGTTTGTGTATCTTTCCATTACAAGATATTCAGTTGATATGACAGGAGCTTTTTTTTTGGAGGGGGGGGAGCGTATTACTGGTGGTTAACTTGAAATTCTGACTTGTAGCTGATTAGTGAAATTATGATTTCTGTAGATATTTTCTAATCACCCTGTTCAGAGATGTTGTTACGCACTTCTCGACCAAGTGGGACTTTAATCCAGTCCTTTTAATTTGATTGAAATCTACCTTCTTGATTGTCCCAAGTTGAGGCTACATTTTTCATTTTGATTTATATATGCTGCAATAAAATTAGTCAAATGAAGAGAGGGATTTTAATTTTGATGTTGGATATGTTTTGAATTTGCTGTTAGAAAATATGCTGGGTTTGTGATTTACATAAAGCACAATGATTTTTAGTTTTATTTTGAGAACCTAGTTACTAACATACTTTCAGTGAATAGGAACCATCACAGGCCTTCAAGTGTTTTAAAGAGATGTATTCCAAATATTATTTATGTGAACTCATAAAGAGGTATAAAGAGAACTTTCAAGCAAAAGACACTTTGCGAAGGAAAAGACATTGGGTCCAACTGCACCTATGAGGAACAGGGAGCTCAGAATGGTCACATGGCCCAGTTTGAGAGTGGGATCAGACTATTACATCTTTGAGTATGGTGAGAGGGAGGAAGAGAGAATTTGATCTGCCTGAAGAACAACAGCCCATTGCTCTATCTCTCTTTGCAACTCCTTTTATCAATGTGTGTGAGCTACAAACTCAGTCAGCTTTATTACTTGTGGAAGATTTCGGGAGAGGATTTGTTGGAGTCCATGCCACCATCAATGCTCCCTTAAACTGTGCAACTCTTGAGTGTCTGCATGCTGTGATTAGCATACTGACACATTGAGTTTTGGAAGCCGTGACCATGCACAAAACTTGGAGGCCCGCACAGAAGAAAAGAAAAATTAGAGGCAACATGACATACCATCTGGAGAAGAGGGAATTCAACAAGCCTACAATTATTCTAGGAAGTCACCCAATGCCATCAGCTTGTGTGTGTGCATAATAACTTAAGAATCTGAATACTATTTGGGAAAATCAGGCACATGTTTAAAACTGTTCTCCTTTCTCCTTTGCAGCGTCCCTGTCCCCCAATCCCCCTTATAGCCTGTCTCTTCCCCCACACTCTGCAGCATCCATTTCCTCCCTCACCTCTCTTTCAGTCTGTATTTCATCCCCCGCATTGAAGCCACCTTCGCACTCCACATCCCTCTTGCATCCTCCTCCTTCCCCTCAACCCTCTTGTTATCTTCGCTATCCCCACCACCTCTCTTGTGGCCTTCTCCACCACACATGGTAGCTTCCTTCATCCTCAGCTGACCTAATGCTCACGGCCCTGAACTGACATACAGCAACCCCCCCTGCCCCTTCCATTACCTGGCAGATTGCACTCCTGTTAAAATGGACTGGGCATGGCCTCCAGTAGCAGCTCAGATCTCCACTGGTGATTCCCTTAATGCCGTGACTTCCCTATCTGTTCACTGTTCCTCCAACTTTGGATCGTCAGTCTCTTGTGCTTGCTGCTGATTGGCCTACACATGATTCCCATGCTTGCAGCTGATGCAAAGAGCCAGTTATTCATGTAGGAGTACTTCCTCCCTGATTCTAGTTGTACTGTGATTGAATTTTTTAGTGCAGTTTAGTGAATTCACTTGCCGCCTTCTATATATTTTGCGCACTGAGGGCTGACCTGTATCTCAATGTTATTTACTGCTTTTGATCATGTCCCTCCAGCTTACAAAAATCTAGCCCCTTTAGTCTTGACAGTTTCAATTGTCCCCGCGCACAGAATGTTTTGGGATAAATTTGAAATAATTCAGATTCTTCTTGCTTTGTTGATTACTGATCTACAGTTTTTGGGATTCTTCTCACAGTGAACTTGTTTGTCAGAGCTCGCTATTTAGGGTTAATTGGAAGATTGATATTTTACCCTAGGTCACACTAGTTTACTACCTATGAAACTGTACCCAGTGTGAAATTATCTTCATAAGTGAAGTAGAGGAAGTATTTTGAAGAGTTTATGGACCATGACTTAGATTTGAATCATTTAACTGATCATATAGTAATTTGTAAGAAGTCTTGTGGTGCACTGGTAGTGCCTCTACCTCTGGGCCAGAAGGCCAGTGGTGAAATCAAATCTGTTCCCCAGAGATGAATATTTGAAAACCTGTTTAAAAATACTTTGCAATGATTTGACAATAAAACTGTCTAGTTATTAATTGTGGACAGTGATACAAAGAAGACTTCAGATCGACCCACAAGAGGTCTCTGCATTTAAGACCAGCCATGTGAACTATTACTAAGGAACGATTCAGTCTATTTCCATTGCAAGATAGCATTTAAATGATCTTTCTCAGTAGTTTAAAACCATGTGTTATTCTCCTAAGTGTTTAATTAGAGTTGATTGCCTCTGAACTTTTGCTGTAACTGCTCTAGTCTTTTGTGGTGAGTTGTTTTGTTTTTCTGTACTTTTCACTTTATACTTTCTGGGCTATGCTCTCAGCATGAATACTTGAAGGCTTGCCCAAAATTAAGAACTGGGTGAAGGAGTAGAATCCTGTATAAAAATCTAAATTCCACCTAGGCGGTGGGTGTATTGTTTTCCAACTTTTAATGATGATACATTCTGTGATGAGACATGGAGAATTGGCACTTGAATCTTTAAAAAAAAAAACTGGAGCTTAACTCATTACTTTCAACAGAAGAGAGGAGGAAGGGGTATTGAAAGAATTTGCAGATAAATTGTTCAGTATGGTGTAGATGTTTTATTTAAAACAAGGTGAGTGGAAGGGAGGTCAGGTGGTGGGAAAATAGAATTGGAATTAATTGTGTGCATATACATTTATGTATATGTCAGACCATATGTTGTTTTTGATTTACAGGTTCTTCCAATTCTTGAGACTTTGTATTGTGTTGAAGAACGTAATTCTCACCATGTGTACATGGCACTCATTATTCTTCTAATCCTTACTGAGGAAGATTCATTCAACCGTTCTGTGCATGAAGTGGTGAGTCGAAGCTGTATTACAGCATCCGATATGAACCAACATATTGAATTCTGCATGTCCAAACGTCAGTGAAATTTGTTTGTGATTGAATATTTCATATACTTATTGGATGATCAGGAAGCTACAATGTAAATCAGACTAAAATGTTCAAAAATATTCATACAGACTTTTCTAAGGAGATTTTTTATGTGATACTATTTTAATATGAGTTAAATTAGTATTGATGCACTAACTGAACAACCTTGTAATGCAATTATGCTAACATTTATAAATCTGAGAAGGGCATATACTCATGATGTTCATGCATGATTCCAGTTTTGTACTGGGTGAGCTGACTTCTGCATCTGACATCAGTTGCCCCTTGGCTAGAGTGATGGCATAAAGAAATCAAATAAATGAAAGAGAGAAAGATTTGCATATATAAATGGCTTTCCCAACTGCAACCCATGACAAAGCACTTGACAACTGTTGTATTAGAATTTGTAATTGCTGGAATTTATGAAGAGCAGCAGCCAAATTGCACATAGGAAAGGAGATTCCCCAACTTTATTTTTTTCTATTCATTTGTGGGATGTGGGTGTCGCTGGCTGGCCAGCATTTCTTGCCCATCCCTAGTTGCACTTGAGAAGGTGGTGGTAAGCTGCCTTCTTGAACCGCTGCAGTCCACCAGCTGTAATATGACTCACAATGCCATTAGGGAAGGAATTCCAGGATTTTGACCCAGCGACAGTGATGTATTCCCAAGCCAGGATGATGAGTGGCGTGGAGGTGAACTTGGAGGTGGTGGTGTTCCCATATGTCTGCTGCCCTTGTCCTTCTAGATGGGAGTGGTCGTAGGTTTGGAAGGTGCTATCTCATGATCTTTGGTGAATTTCTGCAGTGCATCTTGTAGATATTGCACACTGCTGCTACTGAATGTCGGTGGTGAAGGGAGTGAATGTTTGTGGTTGTAGTGCCAGTCGAATGGGCTGCTTAGTCCTGGATGGTGTCAAGCTTCTTGAGTGTTGTTGGGGCTACACTCATCCAGGAAAGTGGGGAGTATTCCATCACACTCCTGACTTGTACCTTGTAGATGGTGGACAGGTTTTGAGGAATCGGCAGGTGAATTACTCACCACAGTATTCCTAGCTTCTGATCTGCTCTTGTAACTGCTGTGTTTATGTGATGAGTCCAGTTGAGTTTCTGGTCAATGATAACCCACAGATGTTGATAGTGGAGGATTCAGTGATGGTAACACAATTGAATGTCAAGGGGTGATGGTTAGATTGTCTCTTATTGGTGATCATCATAGCCTGGCATTTGTGTAGTGCGAATGTCACTTGCCACTTGTCAGCCCAAGCCTGGATATTGTCCAGATCTTGTTGCACTTGCCCAGGGACTGCTTCACTATCTGAGGAGTCACGAATGGTGTGGAAAATTGTGCAATCATTGGCGAGCATCCCCACTTCTTACCTTATGATGGAGGGAAGGTCATTGATGAAGCAGGTGAAGATGGTTAGGACTAGGACACTACCCTGAGGAACTCCTGCAGAGATGTCCTGGAGCTGATATGATTGACCTCCAACAACCATGACCATCTACCTATGTGTCAGGTATGATGACAACCACCGGAGAGTTTGCCCACAATACCCATTGATTCCAGTTTTGCTCGGGATCCTTGATGCCACACTCGGTCGAATGCAGTCTTGATGCCAAGGGCTGTCACTCTCACTTCACTTCTGGAATTCAGCTCTTTTGTCCATTTTTGAACCAAGGCTGTAATGAGATCAGGAGCTGAGTGGCCCTGGCAGAACCCAAACTGGGCATCACTGTGCAGGTTACTGCTGAGCAGGTTCTGCTTGATATTACTCTCGGTGACACCTTCCATCACTTTACTGCTGACCAAGAGTAGACTGATGGGACGATAATTGGCCGGGTTGGATTTGTCCTGCTTTTTGTGTACAGGACATACTTCGGCAATTTTCCACATTGTTGGGTAGATACCAGTGTTGTAACTGTACTGGAACAGCTTGGCTCGGGGAGCGGCAAGTTCTGGAGCACGAGTTTTCAGTACAATTGGCAGAATGTTGTCAGGGCCCATTGCCTTTGCAGTATCCAGTGCCTGCAACCTTTTCTAGATATCATGTGGAATGAATCAAATTGGCTGAAGACTGGTATCTGTAATGCTGAAGATTGCTGCGAATGCTTCAGCCTTATCTTCTGCTCTGGTGTGCTGGGCTCTTCCATCATTGTGGATAGGGATATTTGTGGAGCCTCCTCCTCCAGTGAGTTGTTTAAGTATCCAGCAGCATTCACAACTGGATATGGCAGGACTGCAGAGTTTAGATCTGATCTATTGGTTGTGGGATTGCTTAGCTCTGTCTATCACTTGCTGCTTTTGCTGTTTGGCATGCAAATAGTCCTGTTTGGTGGCTTCACCAGGTTGATACCTCCTTCAGGTATGCCTGGTGCAGCTCTTGGCATGCCCTTCTGCACTCTCCATTGAACCAGGGTTGATCCTCTGGCTTGATGGTAATGGCTGAGTGGGGGATACGTCAGGCCACAAGGGTACAGATTGTGCTGGAATACAATTCTGCTGCTGTTGATGGCCCACAGTGCCTCATGGATGAGTTGCTAGATCTGTGTGAAGTCTGTCCCATTTGGAACGGTGATAGTGCCACACAACATGATGGAAGTTATTCTCAACATGAAGGCGGGTCTTCATCTTCATAAGGACTGTGTGATGGTCACTCTTATCGATACTGTCATGGGCAGATGCACCTGCAGCTGGCAGATTGGTAAGGATGAGGTCAAGTATGTTTTTCCCTCTTGTTGGTTCCCTCATCACCTGCCGCAGACCCAGCCTAGCAGCGGTGTCCTTTAGGACCCGACCAGCACGATCAGTAGTAATGTTGCCGAGCCAGTCTTGGTGGTGGACATTGAAATCACCCATCCAGAGTACATTTTGTGCCCTTGCCATCCTCTGCGCTTCCTCTACGTGTTATTCAAAATTGAGGAGTACCGATTCGTTAGCTGAGGGAGGACAGTATGTGGTGATCAGCAGGAGGTTTCCTTGCCCATGTTTAACCTGAAGCCATGAGAGTTCATGGGGTCCAGAGTCAATGTTGAGGAATCCTACATTAACACCCTCCCAACTGTATACCACTGTGCTGCCACCTCCTGCTGTGTCTGTCCTGCAGGTGGGACAAGACATATCCAGGGATGGTGATGGTAGTGTCTGGGATATAGTCATACTTGCAGAATCATTCCCTACAGACAATGTCAGGCTGTTGCTTAGCTTGTCTGTGAGACAGTTCTCCCAATTTTGGCACTAGCCCCCAGATGTTAATAAAGAGGCCTTTGGAGGGTTGACAGGGCTGTTTCTGCCATTATCTTTTCCGGTGCCTAGGTCAATGCTAGGTGATCCATCCGGTTTCATTTCTTTTAGACTTTGTAGCGATTGGCACAACTGAGTGGCTTGCTAGTTTATTTCAGAGGGCAATTGAGAGTCAACCACATTGGGATTGCATTTATCAGGGCGGTGTGGTAGCTCATGGTTAGCACTGCTGCCTCACAGCATCAGAGACTTGGGTTTGATTCTACCCTCAGGCAATTGTCTGTTTGCACATTCTCTTACCTGTCCTTAATCCATCTTTAAGTGGACAAAAGCAACTTATGCACTACCTACTAATTGGCTTCAAAGCTGATATCATTTTCATCAGCCTTTACAAAATCGGGCAGAGTTCTTGTTGGGATCTAACTGCTCAATCTGCATCTCGCCCTTCAGGCTTTTATGGGGAAGCTCTGTTGCTGCTGTTTACCCCCCGGTTCACTGTGCTCCTCCTGGCTCCTTTGAGTCAGAATAGACTACAGTGGAGAAAAGTCCTGTTCTTATTTATGTCCTGAGTCCTGTGTAGGTCTGCTGTCTCAGTCCACTTCACACTGATGCTGACTTGCTGCATCTTCCTCCCAGTCTGCTTTGCAGTGATGCTAACCTGTTGCACACACCTTCCAGTCAGCTGTCAGGCAGCGCATGTGAGGACGCGGATCGGTTCCGCAAGGAAGTAAGCTGTGTCTCCTCCTCCTACTCGCTGACAGGAGACAGGGAGTCTCTCAGCAGCTCCTTGGGCTGTTCGCAAATAATAGATCTCTTATCTGGAGGGCATTAGAGCCCACATGAGGGCTTTGTATTCTAACCTTTTCTTTCCAGATCCTATCCAGTGAGGAAGCTTTCAAATTTCTGTGGAAAGGACCTGTGTAGGTTGGTCCTCTGAGCCAAGAGATGCTGACTGGTACCTTTGACGAGTTCTTCAGGGGCAACTCTCCATGGCTGGATAGGCTGACTATCAAATTCCTCAGGGTATTCTGGAACATCCTGGGAATTATTACATGGAGGTTCCGGAGGAATGATCATGATTGGAGACATTTCCCTCTCAGCTCAGCCATAATTGTGCTCAAATAAATGCAAAATACTGCGGATTCTGGAAATCTAAGGCAAACGCAGAAAACACTGAAGAATTTCAACAGCTCTGGCAGTATCTGTGGAGAGACAAACAGAGTTATCATTTCAAGTCCAGTTGAGGGGCAGCATGGTGGCTCAGTGATTGGCACTGCTCCCCCATAACACTAGGGACCTGGGTTCAATTCCAAGCATGGGTGACTGTCTTTGTGGAATTTGCATGTTCTCCCCATGTCTATATGGGTTGTCTCCAGGTGCTCCAATTTCCTCCCACAGTCCAAAGATGTGCATTGGATTGGCCATGCTAAATTGCCTTACAGTGTCCAGTGATGTGCAGGCTAGCTGGGTTATCCATTATAAATGCAGGGTTATGGAGATGAGGTGGGGTCTGGGACTAGGAGAGATGCTCTTCAAAGGGTCAGTGCAGACTCAATGGGCTGATTGGCCTCTTTCTGCATTCTATGACTCTTCAAAGTTCTCTCTCCCTTTTTCTCTGTATAGATGCTGCCAGACCTGCTGAGTTTCTTAAGCGATTTCTGTTTGTTTCATAATTTCAGTGTTG